TCAATGTTGAGAGACATAAAACATGCAAAGACTCATGATGTTGGTTCATATAGATGAATCTTGAGGATTTTTTGTTTTATGATGATACAATATTTTGTTGTTTCATAAAGTTACATTAATAAATCCCCGTTATTGCTCTATAACATGAAAGTTGGGCTTCCTTCCTTTTCTTGGAGATCATTTATACGGTGTATGTTTAAAGTTCCGTTTGTGGGCTTAGACTCATGAATTTGTTATCTAAAGTCGTTGGAATATGGACTACTCAATTATTATCTTTGGCTAAGATTAATGAGAGTAGGAGTGACAGACGTGTCAACTCTGAAAACTTAGCTGTCAGTGATAATATTAAAGATAATGAGTTAGTCGTGCGATATATTAGCATTTTTGCTAATAGTTTCATATCCTTACTTAAGGCATGCTTATAAGAATTTTAGGGATCATACAGGGTACATGGAACTTATTATGTGACTATATTGTACGTACATTTATGTTGTCACCTCTATGTAATTTGGATGGTTTCTCCTATGGTTATGCGCATATTTATTTGAGAAACATCCATAAGGTTTGACCAAGAATAAACGTAGGGTTTATTCATAAAGAACCTGAGTTGAGAATCAAAATGCATGTGATGCATAGATGGTATTACTCACACTTTAATTTAGAGGACATACCGCTATGATTCATGCTTTTGATCTTCAACAAAGGTTGTGCCAATACTTGCATCAAGTGGAAAATTGTAACATTTTCCATTAATATTGTACAAATGAAGTTGTGCAAGTTTATTAGGCCAAATTTAGCCATTGCGGCAATAATTAGTTTTTGATAACAACTAATTATAATCAAGAATGAACATAAGGTTTATTCATTAAGTTTTATACCATATAAGGTACTTAGAGAAGAAGTTACATTGTAATCATAAGTGGATACTACTCTGATTAAGAGGAACTATCTCTATGGTTCATGTTTTTGCTTCTTTGAGTTAATACTTGCACCAAGTGGGAGAATGTAACATTTCCATTATGTCACCATTAAGTGGTGCAAGTTAATAGGCCATTTATGGCCATTATGTTGTGGTTTGAAACGGAAGTAACGGTTTCCGTTACTTAACCTATAATGATGGCACGTAGGTTATATATATGTTTAGTCCTCCCACTGCTCCTGTGACATTGTGACTACACCATCTAGTAGAATAGGAGACAAAGTGGTAGACAAAAGCAGATCTTTATTGTTCTTCAAGCAATCCAATGGAGGTATCAACTATGGCTGGAGGTATGTTTGATCCTATGCTTCCGCTATTGAGGTTAAATTATATGAAATATGTCTATTTCATTTGCGTATTTCTAACAGTCAGGTCTTCCCGTGCTATTAGTGTGGCATACACCATTATGTGTGGTGTATTTTTTTTTTTTGTGGTGTATTTTTTTTGGCATTTCATTCTGGTGTATTTTCGAATAGCATTTATATTTTTAAAATTTATATACTAACTGTTGTTTATTTCTTTACTAAGCTTTTATACTCAAATTGATACACTATATAATTACAATTTATTTTTATAATTTATAAACAATAATGTTATTTAATTTGAGTATAAAAGCTTAGTAAAGAAATAAACAACAGTTAGTATATAAATTTTAAAAATATAAATTGTTAAACACTTCATGACAAAACATTTACAATAGAGTACAACATTCTTCAAAATCACTACATACCAAAATTTTAAGTCCTTATGGACTACTAACCCTAGACACAACTATAATCAAACTCTTCAATAGTTAAAAATAAATTTAGAACACTAAATAATTATTTAAAAAAAATATGTAACACACACACACACACCCCATATATATATATATATATATATATATATATATATATATATATATATATATATATATATATATATATATATATATATATATATATATATATATATATATATATATATTACTTTATAATTAATTATAAAGGACCATTATGTCAATATAATATAAAAAAACAAATAAAATACAGGCATAATATTTTAAATAGAAATAAAATAAGAAAAATAGTTCCATAAATACATAAAATTAAAAAATAGCCCATTACAATATGTTTCGCCCAAAACATTTTCAAACCAACTTACATATTACAATTCAATCCAACCCAAAATACATAATAAAATATATTCTAATTTTATTAACCATGGCCCAATACAAAATGTAAATATATTTGTTTTTTTTTTTCCAAAAGGAAGCCGATCTGCTGCCCAGCCCAATACAATGAAAGCCCATTTACAAAAAGCAAACTCAAACCCTAATTTTAAGAAATCCGACATTTTCATAAACCTGAATACATTGATAACATCGTTGAAAGAAAACATGAACAAAAAAATAAAACCAAATAATTATAAATAATTTTAAATAATTAATTGTTTTTGAAGTAGCCAAAACATGCTTGATATATGATTAAAATTTAATTAGTAGTGTTTATCTAATGTGAATTTGGAATTATGTATTTATTTTATGTTAATGTTATTATTTGCAGAATGTTTAATATTACTGCTTGTGTTTTTTTGAAGTCTAAACGGTTGATAGAGGTTCAAGTTATAAAGACTGTGATACCAATTTCTAACCATTTTTTAATGTTAAATTTGGCTAATGTCATTACTTGAAAGTTCATATGATACTGATACCAATTTCTAGCATTTTTTTCAGAATTTTTTTTTTTTAATATAGAATGGTACGGAAAAACTTTAAAAAAATGTGACAAATTTGAAATTTTATAAGGCAATCTATTCTATATGCCACATATATATGAAATATGATTTCTATGTTAAGAGTTGTGCTTATGTAATTGTATTTGAAACTTTATGTATACTTTGTGTTTTCAAACCTGAATTTGTAGTGAAAGAAGATGAGATATAATAATGTAGGTAAGTCCTAATGCATTTCTTATAATATTTGAAACTTATCTATTTCTTTAACATTTTATTTTAAAATGTTTTGTGCAATTTTTGTTAACCGTAGATCTGAGAATTCCAATTCTTACAACTTGTGAGGAAAGAAGATGTTGCCAAAAAGTTGATTAGCTACTCCGAAGCATGAACCTGATGTACGAAGAACTGATGCTGCTGCTTATCAAGAGATAAACATATTTGCTTTGGACTCTTTTGAACAATATTAGTAGAAGCAGAAATTGCAGAGTAGACCTTTTGAGTATATAAAAAGTAACATTTACATGCTATGAGAAAATGTAATTTTCAGTACAGAGCTAGTGTTTTAATCACTACAACAATATTTTTTTTTTACATTGTGCAATACAATCTCATAGAAAACAAAAAGAATACTTGACATAGATGATGTCTTCCTCTTGCCTCCTATTGTTGTACTTCCTTTCAATTTCTTCATGAATGTTAAATATAACTTATAAATTTGAAATGTGTTTTGTGAACTCATTTTTGTTATATGATATGTTAGAGTTCAACTTTGCAATCTACACTTCCATCTTATGTATAAGAGATTGATACTAAAACTGGGGTTCTTATATGTAAGACATACATCTGTATTTTAATGCATGTGATTGTGTAAATATAATGATTTACTTTTGCTTCTAAATCTAACAATAAACTGAATATACCATGTCTGTAATCCCATATATAATTTTTTTGCTATGATGATCATACTTTATTCTTGATTATTTTAGGTGTCAATGGCATAGACAACCCTTGGTAATGCAAGATTACATGTTGCTTCATGTGCTGTTGAATCCCTTCCAAAAAGTGTTTCTAACAGTGTGTCCATACTAAGATTTGTCTCTCCCATTCCTCCCATCGAAGAAGTGTTTCTATACTGCATAAATATTAGAAATGAAAAATGAAGGAGGTTCATGCCATAAATGTAAAAAATAGAGGAAGTGCATATTGCCACCAGCCTCTTGTTTTCTGCCCTTTATCTCTCTTTGTGCTCTTCTCTTTGTGCTTCAGAGTTCAGACCTTCAGGGTGGGATTTCAACACAAAACATGTATTATTTATAGGCTATTTTTTTTTGTCAAAATTCAAATTCAAAAAGATGTACTTATTATTTTTAGCATTATTTCACATAACTTGTACAACTAAACTATCTGTCCTTCAATCATTTCATCAGTAAAAAAAGTAATTAATAGCATTGGAAAATGGAATACCAAAAACAACTAATTTCAAGTCCCAAGGTAGACATTAAATATGTAAAATCAGATTTCTAGGGTGGTGCACACAAACGGAAAAACATTTTCAAGCCAAAACGTTGTCGGTTTCCATGGGCAGGAAAACATATATATTTTTATTTACCAAAAAAGTTTGACTTTATTATTATAGAAGAAGAAGAAGATATATATATATATATATATATATATATATATATATATATATATATATATATATATTAAAAGTAATTGTTTTTTTGAATTTAATTATTTGTAAAATTTAATTATTTTTTTCAACTTTGAATTAATATTAATTTTTGTTAGACTTTAAAGTTGAATTGTAAATTCACAATGTCAATATTGTATACTTCATTTATTTTTTTAAACTTTGAATTGAAAAAAAAAAATTATTAAAAAAAAACCCACAGGCCAGCCCATAAAATTAGGTCCACGGTGGGGTGGGCCGACCTACTTTGACAATACTAAGTTTACTCCCACATTTAGCTAGGGAACAATCATTATTGTATGGACCATGGTACACACAAATTGTATGGACCATATTTTATCTATTATAAAATAATGTACATATTGTACAAAAATAATGTACATTTTGTATAAAAATAATGTACATTCAATACAAAAATATTGTACATTATATTCAGGGGATGTACATTATTTTTGTTCTGAGTATACATTATATTGTATAATATACATTCAGTACAAAAATAATGTACATTTAATATATTAAAAATGTACATTTCATTATGGTCCACATAACATTATGTGGACCATGGTCCATACAATAATTTTGCCGCGAGGGAGAGAAATAAGGCAATAAAGATTAATCGGAAACTTGGATTATACTTCAGTGAGAGCAATATAATGCTGCAGCCAAAGAGAGGGGATGATCGCTTTGGATCTCCCATCCACACATTATTATTTGAAACTTGGTAAAAAAAAAAAGAGAATATGATACTTTCACTACTTTCCATGCTTGAATTTATCAATTGACAAGCAAACATCGAGGATGTGATTGAAATGGCGATGGGATTCATAGAAAGGAGTATTTTCTTCTTTCAAAACTTCAAGTGCAATTTCACAGTCTTCAAGACCTGTTACCGCGGCCGAGAGTTTGAAATTTATTTCATCATTAGCGTCCCCTTTCTTGACCAAATCCATGCACTCCTTCAATCTGCACACCACATTAGTATTATTTAACTAACATACAAATCAAATATCTGTATGCACGATACTCTTTATATTTTTTTTCCCTCCAACTCAACCCTCATGACTTGACAACATCTAATTAATTAGTAACTGAAGTGGTTTACCAATTCATAGATAGGTAAGATTTTCCCAATTAATATAGCACAATAGTTACCGTACTCATACTATTGCTCAGTACACCATCTAGGGTTCAGAGTCACGAGGCAAATTATTACTAACGGTCTACCGTTAAGAGGTAGCACAACAGGAACATCGATCAACTATGACTGGAGATCAACACGGTTACGCTTCTGCTCTTATACGAAGTCAGTTCTCTCTATTGTTCAGTATAATTAGATTATTCTATATCTAACATTTGGTATCAGAGTCATTATAATCTCTGTCTGGTTGATTGTTTTGCCTAACCAATGAATGAAAGTCACATCAAGAGGTAAAATAATAGAGGAGAGCAGCACGAGTTTAGTAAATAGGAAGAAGAGAAATTTCGAAACTTAGCCCCGGCACTGTGCATATCGATAGTATTGTGCCTAATGTGGACAGATTCCATGTGCATATCCATATTTGGCCCTATCTGTTAAGCCACTGATTTATCTTATCGGTGAGGATTCAACCTTCTTCAGAAGAAAATAATGGAGGAGAAATAAAACATTTGTCCTGTATTAATTAATTAATTTACCTGGCATGGATGTTATCGTAGGTCTCACCGCACTTGGATTTTCCCAAAGACACCTTTTTACTTTTAAGGATGATTGAATCCGAGTGTTTCATCGCCTCCATTAACCCCATAGTCATTGCCTGGTCCCAATTTGTGGCGGTCTTCGTCACATTCTCGCACATCGCTTTGTCAGCGGCCGTGGCGCAGTAGCTGTTGCCGCCGGCACCGGCAGCAGCCTCGGCGGCATTCACAAGTGCCGACGAGCTGAGATACATTACCGACAATGCCACAATGCATCCCTTCAAACTCACCATTTTCAAATTCTCCGATCTGTATGTTCCTCAAAAAGTAAGATTTAATTGATTTATTTATGTAGATGTGTTTTACATTAATCGGAAATGAAGGATGTTGGAGGCGCGGTATATATATATGCTTGGGAATCGTTATACAAAATAGAAATTTAAGGATGCCCTCATCATTCATGCATGCTATGTGGTTCACCCGGTGAAACTTTGACATTTTCAATGTGAACCTCTAATGAAATTATTTACCCACAAAACATAACTTGTGGTTAATAGATATATCTTATAATAACAAAAAAAATTCCTATAATATATTTTTGTATTTTATTACCGTTAATTAATACATATCTAACCTCGGATGTGCAAACTTAATTTATGGTTAATTGGTCACCATAAGTATATAAGAGCATTCACAATAGCAGCAAAACTTGCTAGGGGTTTTTGGACTCAATTTTTTACATGTTTTTTCTCATGCAAATGTAAAATTTGTGTGAGACCAATTAAATAGGAATAAAAGTATAAGAGGCTACATCAGGTGTGGGTTGGGAACACTACTGCACGCGCTAGCTAAGCGCTTAAATTTTCCTTTGTATTATTTATTTTTTTTTTTTTTGTTTGAATTTTTTCCTCTTCTCTCTTCCCTCTCTTTCTTACTTTTCATTAAAAAAATCACTAAATTAAAAATATGCAAATCTTATTTGAGATGCCTTAACAACTTGAGAATTGTTATGCGATATGACCATTAATTCATTAATATATGTTTAAGTGTAAATTATATAACACCAAGTACATTTTTATCATTTTATACTTGATCATATCTGTTCATATACTTTCTCAACCTACTAAAACACAAAGAACCAATAACGCCTCTAATATGGCTCAAACTCACAATCTTCCAAATGGAAGTCCAACCTGAGAATCATTAGACCACATAGTCTTTTTGATTTGCAATTAGTTTAGTGTGTGTGTGTGTGTGTGTATACATATATATATATATATATATATATATATATATATATATATATATATATATATATATATATATATATATATATATATATATATATATATATATATATATATATATACACTAGTATTTCACTCGTGCGAAGCACAGTCCAAAAATTAAATAACATTATTGTTTATAAATTATAAAAATAAATTGTAATTATATAGTGTATCAATTTGAGTATAAAAGCTTGTAAATAAATAAACAACAGTTGCATTCAAAAAAAAAATAAACAACAGTTAGTATATAAATTTTAAAAATATAAATTGTTAAACACTTCATGACAAAACATTTACAATAGAGTACAACATTCTTCAAAATCACTACATACCAAAATTTTAAGTCCTTATGGACTACTAACCCTAGACACAACTATAATCAAACTCTTCAATACTTAAAAATAAATTTAGAACACTAAATATTTATTTAAAAAAATATGTAACACACACACACGCGCACACACACACACACACACACACACACACACACACACACACACACATATATATATATATATATATATATATATATATATATATATATATATATATTATACTTTATAATTAATTATAAAGGATCATTATGTCAATTATAAAAAAAACAAATAAAATACAGGCATAATCTATCTATATCAGATATATTGAGTCATTTGGGATTTCATTATCCCACCCAAATTTTTGTAGTCAAATTAATTAAATATTTTATATTTTATTGGTCAAATACTTAATAAAGCTTATTTGGTCAGTAAAATCCCCCTGTTTCATTTTCCCACCCAAACTTTTGTAGTCAAATTAATTAAATGTTTTATATTTTATTGGTCAAATACTTAATAAAGCTTATTTGGTAAGTAAATGAAAATGGAAATTTAGTAATATCAATATTATGAATTAATTAGGAATAAGATTAATTAGGAATATTAATATAATGAATTGATTAGGAATATCAATATAATGAATTGATTAGGGCAATACCTTAAATAAATAAATACACTTTCTTTTTGAAAAATTTTACAAATTTATAATTCGCATATTTTTCACCTATAAATACAATGAGTTGATGACTACAAAAATTATAAGTCTTCATTTTATATTGCATCCCTTTTTTCCCACTAGGTCTTCAGCCTTGATCATTCAGTTTAGTCACGTTTCGAAATTAACGGTAGGTTTAACATCCAAGTAGTTTGATTGGATTAGATACAATACGTTTTTCATGGTTGTATTGTCCAAATTTAATACTTTTTTCAGCGAAAAGCTATTCATATCATATGCCTAGATTATGATTTATTCTGAATATTTTTACGGTTACTCCAAGTCCATTTCATATATTGATTTTTTGCGTCTATTGAAGTTTCATTATCATTGATGAAAGGCAGCCTCATGTGAATCTCACTTTGAGTGGTGCCTACTCATGCTTGTTTAAAGGGATGCTGAGTGCTGACTCTTCTAATCTCTCTCTTCATTTTTTTGCTATATTGTCATTGGTCAAGAATTTAAAGTGCCACACAATAAAATGTGTGACTCACGGGTGATTGGAGAATGGGGAGTGGTTAAGTTTTTGTTGCAGAAGTTCTGATTTGTTAAGTTGTTTTATTCTTGTGGTGCCGGTTTTGACAGTTAGTAGTAGTAGTAGTAGTAGTAGTAGTAGTAGTAGTAGTAGTAGTAGTATGAAAAAATGAAAAAGAATGGAAGGAAGTCGTACGCCCAAACAATTAATAATAATATTGGGAAGAAAATTAATAATAATATGAAAATATAGAAAATAATGGAAGAAAATGTTAGCCATGTGAATGTTTTCTACACTCTGAAAAATGAAAAAGAATCAATAAGCATAAGGAAAAGAATCATTAAGATATTTTACTATTAATCTTTTACAGAAGATTTTGCGTAAAAAATAGAATAGAATTAGTTATTAATAATTTAGTCTTATTTTACTATTACTATTAATCTTTAAGAAAAATTATGCGTAAAAAATGTAATAGAATCGATTATTAATAATTTAGCTTTATTTTACTATTAATCTTTAAGAAAAATTCTGCGTAAAAAAATATAATAGAATCGGTTATTAATAATTTAGCTTTATTTTACTATTAATTTTTAAGGAAGATTTTGTTAAAAAAAATAAAACAAAATTAATTATTAATAATTTAAATTAAAATTAAAGTACATATATTTTCCTATCCGTAATACAATTTTACTTATTATTTTACAAAATCTTCAAATAATAATTGGTAATATTATTATTCAAGTATAATACAAACTTTAATTTTAATTGGTAATCTATATTCTATATTAATTAATAAAAACAATATCCTCCTTTACAAGTTCCCACCTAAACAATTAGTAATAATTTGGAAAAATAGAAATGAATGGAAGGAAGTCGTACGCAAAAACAATATAGAATAATATTGGGAGGGAAATTAATAATAATATGGAAAGATGGAAATGAATGGAAGGAAATGTTAGCCATGTGAATTTTTTCTACACTCTGAAAAATGGAAAAGAATCAATAAGCAGTATAACAAAAAGAATTATTAAGATATTTACTATTAATCTTTTTAGGAAAGATTTTGCATTAAAAAAATAGAATAGAATTGGTTATTAATAATTTAGCCTTATTTACTATTAATTTTTAAGAAAAATTCTGCGTAAAAAAATGTAATAGAATCAGTTATTAATAAAAATAATAAGTTAGCTTTATTTTACTATTAATCTTTAAGGAAAATTTTGCTTAAAAATGAAATAGAATCAATCAATCTATATATATATATATATATATATATATATATATATATATATATATATATATATATATAGGGGGAGCTTCAAGTGAGAACCCTTCATTAGGTAGGAACTTAAGAACTAATCTAAACCCTTCAAAGTTGCTTAATCAATGGTGTAGATCATAAATTATTTTTTTGAGAATCTTAAACATAACTAATTAAAAGGATATTAGTGTAATTTTATAAAGCTATCAATTAAAATATAATATTATATTTAGATTCTTTCTAAATTTTTAGGATGACAAGATAAGGAAGGAGTCATGGAGTTTTGTGATTCTACAAACGTTCTCCTTGCGGATGAAACTAACGCACGCACGACCACCATTAGCGTGATTTCATAGTGAGATGCATGCCACCAAATTCAACGCTGACTCCTTGTGAAGTGCAACAATGAGCAACGATACATACACTGTGGCACACACCGGATTACGCAAGTGCACAACCATGTGCCCAATTGTTTTAAGTCTACCATTTATGCACACCGACTAATACATAATGGCACAGAGCATATCAAAAAGATGCAGCACACTTTTTTTAGTGCTCAACTACTGGTGGTCGTGAATTCGTGCGTCTAGCCTTTCAGGTGGACAAAACGGCACACCTAGCTCAATCTAAGTGCACTCCCTAAACGTGTGAACCATTGTGAACATGCACACGCCATATCCTCCGTAAAGGTGTTTGCTTTGTATGCACATACGATGTAACGAGTGTGCCATAATGGCCACAAAAACCCTATGTGTGTTTATCTTAATTGTGTGGATTGTGTGTGCCACAATGCTTAACTATATACATTCCGTACTTCACAGGTCATGACGGCTCATCATGGATTTCATTCGGGTGTGTAATGAATATTTCACCAGGCTCCACGAAGAACTAGACTCTAGAGTGTGAAGAGCCAATGAAGCATTTTGTTGGGCAGCGGTTCACAAGTTTGGAAGCAACCTGCTAAAAACCCATTGTAATCATCTCTAACATGCACACATGGTGTTTACTGTGTGCACATATGGAGAGAATTAGCTAATCACATCTCTCATACTCTGTATGGCACACAGACATAACCTTACGTGCATGTGTTCCCAGATCTTGGAGTAGGCTAATGGTATGTGCATCCATGATGTGTACTGTGTGCATATACGAGTAATACCGACACTTCAAGCTGCACGTTAGGTTTTTTGTCTCCCGTAAGCAACTAACCACTGATAATGACTACATTGTATCATGAATGCAGGCACAACTTGTTGTTTGTGCCATTCACAGGTGTGGACCACCACAAGAGGAGCGTGACATTCGCAGTGTGCACCTA